CGAATGTTCCCAATGTTTTAACTTGCAGTTAATTGCTTGGGGTCTTTTTTTTATTTAAAAAGCTGGTAGAGATGAAACTAATTCGTTTCAGTACTTCTCTGGAAAATTTTCTTTTTAGTTTTTCTCTACTCAGCTTGGATGGGCAATTTTTTCCAAAAAAAAAAAATCAAAGAGCAACAACAAAAATCCCACAACTATGATGTGAAAATGCAAACCTCTATAAATGGTCTGACCTCTAACCCAGACTAAGCACTAACTGGGTGGGTTTATTAATTTTGTCTTTGTTGTTTGCTTTCCTTCCTTCATCAACTATTCATATTTATATAATTAAGGTATTACTTCAATGCCTCAGTTTCTTATTTTTCCTTTATGCACCATTCGTCCTTATCCATACTCTCTCAACTACCCCTTTTCTGTAAAGGCTCTAAGCTGCTCTGTCTCCTGCCTTAACTCACTACATTCCATCCACTGTACTGCAGTCAGAAAACCAGTTTTGAAGTATAAATCTAAACGTACCATTTCATTCTTCTGCATGAAGTCCAGACACCTTATATTGTCACACAATGATAAAGTCATTGATTAACAAACTCTACAAACAAAAACTCTTATTTCTTCTGGGAAAGTTGTCATCAGCCAGAAGAATGGATTAGGTATTCTTATTATGTTTTCTAATACAGCCCTGAACAACACCAAATTCTATCATAACTGCTAGCTAACTCCTCACTTTCAGTACTAATTTATTTGCTTTATAAAGGCAGGACCATATATTTTTTGCGTATTTATTCTTAGCAATTTGTGCATTGCCTTTATCCTTTAAGCTACTAGGGAAATTTTTATTAAATGGATAAATGAAAGTTATTTGCTCATCATGAAATACACTGATTATGTGATTTCTCTTTGTTTTTGCTTGAGGCCTTATAAAACTGGTCCTGAGGCACACACACAAAAATACTATTATATTATTAGAGAAGGCAAGTGTCAGCACACTAGTTAAAGAGAAGAAAACAGCAGATTTAGGGAGAAAACTGTCTACCACTTGGTATCAAGAATGGCTCTGTTTAAATTTGCAGATTTCAAAGATCGTACAAATTGCAGTTTTCAGGTTCTTCTTTCAGCAGGATTAATCTAGAAAATTTATTTTGTACCTTCTCTATTTGTTAAGATACAATAGACCTGTTCTTAGTTCTGCATAAGGGTCTCGGACTATGCATATTTTAAAGTACTTTACTCTCCACCTCTAAGTTGAGTTCCTGAATCCTAGGTTCTTTTTCTCATATAGAATGCAGATCTTTCTTGAAAAACATACTCTGGGTACCTGAAACTTTGTGATTCTCTGACCCAGTATTTTCAGGAATTCTAAGTTTGTGAAGACCTCTTCACCTAATCCTTCTCAGACAGACTTCAAGGTACTTTATCCTCATCTCAAAACCCAAGACCTGGGGCTGGAGCAATAGTATAGTGGGTAGGGCATTTGCCTTGCATGTGGGCCGACCCAGGTTCAAATTCAAGCATCCCATATGGTCCCCTGAGCACTGCCAGGAGTAATTCCTGAGTGCAGAGCCAGGAGTAACCCCTGAGCATCGCTGGGTGTGACCCAAAAAGGAAAAAAAAACCCAAGACCTGTTCAAGAAACAGTTATTTGTAGGGTTTGTGAGCCAAGCTAGAGTAAGTTGATAGTGCACGCATATGGAAATATTTATTGTGTATTATTTGGCAAATGGAAGGGAAACAGAGTTGACTTTAACCTCCCATGGTTTTAGTATAAAGATTCAGCACTTTAGAAACTGCATTTTTTGATAATTCATTCCAAAGGTAGATCCTAATTTCCAGTTCTTTCAATGTGACTTAAATTTAGTGACTTTTCATCAGTAAAATTTGTAAGAAGTAACAATTATAAATATGTAAAACACAAATAGTTTCCATTATACTGCCTTACTTGGAAAATTTGCAATGGTATTTGCAGATGTCAATCTTATAAGCCCACATGGCACCGTGCAGACATATTTATGGCAAGGAACTAAGTCCTTAATAAAAAAAATCAAGAAGTTGTGACCTTCAGCTTATAGCCATAAGAGTGATCATTTTGGAAGTGATATTTTGGGCCTAATCAGGTTTTGACTACTTTTTGACTAGAATCTCCTGAGAGACAAGAACTTCCCATTTAAGTGTTTCTAAATTAATCACTCATACTCAGATATAATAGATACTTCTTTAAATCTGAGAATTGCTAAATTTGGAGGTAAATTTGCTATCAAAATGTTGGGACAGGATCAGGGTATTGGTGGAAACTAAAAAGAATTAATGAATATACCAGACATCTCGAAGCACCAAGTACGTTTATGAAAGGGAAAATAAAAGCTTACTCTGTGAGACTAGAAGTGTGCACCTGGAGCCCAGAACTGCCTGAAGTGGACAGTGTTGCTGGTTTTATACCTATCTATAATGCAAAGGCAAAATAAACAAGACAAGGAGTGAGTTCCAGAACTTCTCAAGCATTTTATCTCAAATTTTGTTTTCTTGTTCTATGGAACTTCATGGAACATGAATGTGGCTGTCAGGGTAGTACAGATTAAAAAAAATCTTTGTCTGTAGTTGGGGGCTGATTTCTTTTAGATAATGAAGTGTATTGTGGGTTCAGAGATTCTGTTGAGGATAAGGAATTTGGACTTAGCAATTTGGTAGAAAGAGGTCATTTGGGTTTCTACAGACTGATAGCTCTCGTTGAAAAGTCAAGGACTCTCAATGAACAGTTTACTGTGGGTTGGGACTTCTGATCTCCAGATCAGAGAGGTTGGACTTTTCCCATGCCCAAATGTTTATTGCCTCATTTAGCAGGATAGGCCTCCATACAGGGGGCCACTTCTCTGTTCCTGTCAACACAATTGATCACTGATACTCACATTTATCAACAAAGATTCTGAAATGTTTAACTTCAAGCTGTTCTTTTTTTTAGTGCTGTCAAGATAGAATGATGGATCATATTCTGTTTAATAGTTTGTTGAATTGATTTTCAATTTTTTATTTAGCATATCCAGACATATGGAAGGATTCATTCATTTCTACTCTTCTAAGAATGAGCAAAAAACATTCCCATTTTTCACTCACTGCCGGTGCAAGTACCGTGTTGGGTCTGTAAAGTGATTCTATTATATGAAGTAAAACTCATGTGTGAGGCTAGAAATGCTTAGTAAAACCTTTAAACAGTCATTTTTTCTTTTGTGCTTAACATTGTTATTATCTTATGCAGTGTTGATCTCTGGATCAACCACTGGCTAAGGTCCCAGACACAGGTCAGTTCAAATAGATCTTCAGTATTATATAAGATGCATCCAATACAAAACTTTCAATGGTTACCTTTGCACACAATATTTCAGGCTAACCTTTTAGATTCTGGGCCATATGAACTGTGTAACCGTACTTAATGACTCTTCAATGTCATGCTCTAGGCTGCAACAATATTGAACTATTTCTGATTCTACAAATGATCACTATTTTTTTCCCTTCATGCTTTAGAGTATTGCTTTTTTACAGGCCTAGGAAATATCCACTGCCCATCTCTTCTAGATTCTCTTCTCTTAGAAGACACCTGCAATTAATTTATACCTCTCTTGGAGGCTCCATTTATATGATAGCACACTACACTCATTGCCAATATCACGTGGTTTCCTACCTATGCTGAGTCAAAAGACTATGTATACACACTAAGGGCCACAGAGATAGTGCATGGTTTGTCTGGTTTAATACCCAGTATCACAGAGTCCCTTGATCGCTTCTGGATGCAGCTCTAGAGGCACCAAACCCTCCTATGTATTATCCTGATGCTCACACAGAGAACCTGTGTCACCCAGGTATTCCTAGAAATGCATGTCAAGAGCGACAATGCATTCTTTGTTTGACCCTTGCATTGAGCTGCTGACCTGGGGGGTTAAAAATTACGAAGAGAGTCCCAGAAACTCCTTCCTAGTCACCATTTAGGAAGACACTCCTTTCTAATATAGACAAGAAAGACTATGAATCTTTGAGGATATAGAACATGCCTTAATAGCTTCCAGTTTTCCTGCGGTATATGTATAAATTGATATATACCAAGATAAAATCATAATAGCATATGAAATTTTAGTCTATGACATAATTTTGTGTGAGCATTTGAATTGTTAAAATGGAAAAAAAAGTGATTGCATTTTGTTTAAAAGAGATCACTTTGTAAAATGTGATATAAAAAGAAAAACAGTAACGGTACAATGCCTTATTAGTGTACAGTCTTGTTTTTAAAGGACCATCTTTCACAGGAACCAGAAATACTATAAACTGTAATGTAGCAATTACTATCTTAACTACAATACATGGTGTAAATCAATGGTGGCATTAAATCTTGTCTAAATGACCAGAACATGAGTTAAAGCTCCCTTTGTAGCACATATTTTTCTTTAGTTGATTTTGCTCACTTTAGGCTTGTAGCTTGCAGACAGGGGCTTTTTGTAAAAGGAAAGTCATGAACCATTTTATTTCATTTTTCTATAAATAATCTCCCAATGGAAGTCTAAAGTTGAGACCAGGTTCTGAGAAGTGGTGCTCTGGTGGCCTCCAGGGCTACCCCCAGCAGTGTCCAGGGGCCACATGATTCCAGGGATCAAATTGGGTCCTTCTAAGCATTAATGATCCCTACACTGTTTTATTTTGCTCTTTAATTTTTTATTTTGTTTCCAATTTGTTTAGGGTGTGGAAGAGAGGCAAGACAAGGACAACTGTGCCTGTAGGGAAGAGATTTTGTTTTTTTCTTTTTTTCCTCTTGTTATGGAGGAATTCTTAAGCAACACTCAGGGGGCATTTTGTTTTAATATTTTGCTTAGTTAACACATCTATTAAAAATGTATACTTTATTGTCAAGAGGAAGTTCCTCACAGCACTTAAAGGAATAAAGCTTAACAGAAAGGAATAATGGAAGTAAATCAAAACTAGAAAGAATGGGCTATTAGGATACTATTAAAAAGCAAAAGTACAGACTTACGTGGTAGGCGAGGTACCATCATCCATGAAGGTGTCTTTCACAGGGTGACGCTGATTCATTGCACCCCAGATATGCTGACCCCTGCGATTTCCCCAAATGTGGGAAACTTGGCTGCATAATTTGTGATAGTGGGGGACTGCATTCACCCTCTCCCTTGAAAAAAATACGTCAGACACTTATTTTATAGAAGCTTAAAGATATTTAAAAATTGACATTTTAAATGATAAGTGAAACACATTGGTCATAAAATTGATATATTGTAGGGGCAGGAGCTAAGGTATAGCAGGTAGGGCGTTTGCCTTGCAAATGGTTGACTCAAGTTTGATTCCAGGCAACTCATAAGGGTCCCCGAGCACCACCAGGAGTAATTCCTGAGACTCCTGAGCATTGCTGGTTGTGACCCAAGAAAGCAAAAAAAAGAAAAAAGATTGATATACTACTAGACACACACAGCACATATAATAAAAGTACTTTTATGAAGGTATCATAGTTTACAATATTACTGAAGAGATTTACAGTCACAGAGCTACTATACCAGATCCAGCGCCATTATTCACAGTTACATTTCCCCACCTCCATCTCGTTGCCCTCTGCTTCCAATTCTACTGATTATGTCTCAGAATTTATTTATTTTGGGGATTGTCTAATCCTTTCTTTGTTTCTTTATGTTTTGAATATGAGAGAGATCATCTAGTATTTATCTTTTATTTTGCGAGAAGCCCCTATTTTTGAAATTCTTTTAATCTCAAATCATATAAATATTTGTTTTTCTTTTAATCTCCCAGTCATGAGTGAACAAAGCATCATTCACTAAACTACTTTAAGATATTAAAAATAGTATGAGTAAAGCATAGCATTTATAACCTGCCCAGAACTGTGAGAAAAACTGGTTGAAAAATAAAATAGCAAAAAACATAAGAAATGAATAAATAAAGGTTCGCAGTCTAGATGTAAATACTTAGTAGCTCATAAATACATTTTCGATGGAAAAAATAGTTTAGGAGTGGTAATTTAATAGAATATAATTTTTATTTTTTCTTTATGTGTGTGTGTACCAAAGTAACAAAATAGTGAACCTGATTTTTTTTGTTCTTGTGGTTACCTCAAAGAAATTGCAGCTATGCAAAACAATATGCAACTCCATGGGAATTTTTAATAGGATTTTGAAATAGTTATTTATGAACAAAGGAATGGTTTAACTAAGACAAACCTTATTCCTCTATCTCAAAAATATTAGGATGCATTTACATAAAATATAGTTGTTAACTTTCCATCCCAAATAGCATATATATATATATATATATATATATATATATGACATTTAGGAGTATTTCACTTGATTTAACCAAATAGTTACATGTTGTACACTTATAACAGTTTCCAAATAAACTTTCTCAGCTCTAAATTTAAAGAGACTATAAATTGCAAAATGTTGTGAAGCTCTTTGTTTTTCTCTAAGTGCATATCCAAAGGGCACATCACTAACAAGGCTTCCTATATAATAATGAAACACTAGTCAAGGAAAGTTGACATTGGTGGTGGAATAGGTATTGAAATATATGCTTAAAACTCAACCATAAATAACTTTGTAAATCACATTTCTTCAATTAAATTTAAAAAATAATGAATTTTCTATAGAAGGAAAAAGGAAGGGTGTAAACTGTCCTCTCAACTGAGTTCTTTATGTAATAGGTATTACACTGAACACTGAAATATGTTTTGTAGCTCTAAATGTATCGAAAATAATGTTTAAACATAATTGTCTAAGTAAGTGACATTTAATTAGGAGAAATATATCTATGACTACATACAAACCTTCATTAATGCCATTTCTTTGTCCACCAAATTTTCCAAGTCTTCATGAAAAATTTTGTTTTCTTATTTTCTTACATACCTTTCTGAAAAACAAACAAAAATATTAAACTATTTCAGTTTCTATTTTAGCATATGATTTTGCTCTTATTCATATTAAAGTTATTAACCCATTTAAAAGGAAATTTGTTTAAAGTTTATATTTATTCGAATAGTAAGTGGAACACTGAAGAATTACAGGAAAAAATAATATTTATATATAGTCAGTTGCCAGAAAATATTGAATCAATGTGTAAGAATTGGACTAGAAATAAAATTTAAACTTAAATTCCCAGAAAACGGGAGTAGAAGAACAGTTGAATCAGTGATGTGACTAATTTAGTTTCTGTGACTTCCACAGGCCCATTTATTATACAGATGTTTTAAATCTATCTTGATTAAACAAAGTCAAGAATCCTTAAGTGATGCTTTAATGAATCTTGCATTCTAAGAAAGGGAGGAAAACTTCAAATATTAGCGCAGACAGTCCGCTAATGCTGTCATTCTTTGTAGTGGAGTGAATCACATTCTTTATAGTATCAGTATACTAACAGTAAACAATCAATGTAAGTCTGTATCTCCCTGGGATATAATCTAAGATCCTGCTGACAAAATACACTGTATTTTATGAGCAAATAGAGAAATATATATTCTCTAAGGGATAAATGACCATCTTTCCTTTCCTCTCACCATAAGAGAGTCTAACATGATTTTAAGTCCATTGCACTCACTTTATATGAAATAACATTTTTATGCAGAGGATGCTAAGGAGTTTTCCGATTTTAGTTTGAAACAGGTAAAATTAATATGTATTCTTTCAATTATTTTGCCCAAAATGTCTGCATTTAGCTGAAGTATCCCATGTATTTTTGAAAAGAAGAATTATAGTTTCTTGAAATCTCAGTTGTATTCAAAAGGCTGGTATGGGTTTATTAGAAAAATTAAGAAGACAAAAGAGGCAATTTTTAAGAATATGTTCTGAAAAATATGTTGAATTCACAGTTCAGCTTTTTCTGCCACTTCACTGCATCAATCAGGGTGATTTTATATGATGCAACACAGTTTCCTTTTTAAGATGACAGGGTAGAAAATTGCTAGGGGACTTGGAATGCCAAAGCCCCCAAGACTTCTCTAACATGTCGAATAAAAACCACAGCTCAGTGAACCAAGAGATAATAGTCAAGAGTCTTCAACACAAAACACTGTGAATTCATGGTGGCATCTTAAGAGGACATTGCAGGCACTAATTTTTAAAAGTTTGATTGTATGCTTCAGAACATATGTAGGCACCAAAGAGATAGTATAGAAGTTAAGGCACTTTCCTTGCATGTTGTTAACCCCAGTTCAAACCCCAGCACCGAGTTTAGTTCACGGAGCAGCACTGGAAGTAATTTCAGTGCACAGAGCCAGGAATAAGCCTTGAGCACTCCAAGGTCTGTTCCCAAAAATAAATACATACATAAATAAATAGTATATATAACTGAAAAAATAATAGGAACTTGGAGGGCGGTTGACTGGGGAGGATGTGTGAATGGACCAGACTTGGTAGTTTTTCCGTAGTTATTCCAGCTTAGAGTTTGGGGACCAGGTGGCATCAGGATTTTACCCAGGGCTCCTGCGTCCAGAACCTTGAACTATCTCACCTGCCCTCCAAATAGGTTTTGTTCGTGTGTGTGTGTGTGTTTGTGCGCGTGCATGTGCGTGTGTGCGCGCGTGCGCGTGTGTGTGTGTGTGTGTGTGTGGTCAGGTTTTAGTTCGCAATTATCACTTTTAAAATAATGGGGACCACCCACAAGAGCAGCTCTCCAGCACGGCCATGGCTCCAGAGGCACAAGGACTTAATGCAGAGCCCAGCAGCCTGCGGCAGAAAAGTGAATGGACTATGTGTTAATCCACGCCACCATGCCTGCCCAGAAGGGAAAGATTGTTGCTTCCTTCCACCTTTTCCCCTCTGGAAAGCAAGATGGCGGCTGCCTCAGAGCCTTTTGGAAAGCCAGGTATGAGCCGGTCGTGACAGGGCGACTGAAATCTCATGGGAAGGGGGTCGTTCCCGTCTTGTCCTTCACTCCCTAATGAGGTCAAGAGTTGCCTCCCACGAACGGCTCTCCGGCACAGCCATGGCTCTAGAGCCACAGAAACCAATCTTATAAGTATATGACTCTCGGCAAAAATACCTCCAGGCTTAATAAGTAAAATATCAGAAATCCAAAATCCAAAATCGCGCGGCTGTGCGACATCATTTAATTTCTGTAACCAGCTGTAGAAAACAAATAGTTTCACAATGCCTTTTCAGCAGGTCTGATTTGGGGGTGTAAACTCTAAATAATAATGGTGCATCTTTTGTTGAAACAATGAATCTAATCAAAGTAGATATAGTGTTAACTAGAATTCATCTGCCTCACAGGCATTGGGAGGGTTGGGAGGGGGGTATGTTGGGGTTCTTGGTGGTGAAAAATAAGTACTGGTGAGGGAAATGTGTTTGATGATTGCATGACTGAGACTTAAACCTGAAAGCTTTGTAACTTTTCCCTCAGTGATTCAATAAATTAATTAATTAATTAATGTCGTGTCCTGTCCTCCCGTTGTTCATCCATTTTCTCGAGTGGGCCCAGTAACGTCTCCATCATGAGACTTTGTTGTTACTGTGTTTGGCATATGGAATACGTCACGGGTAGCTTGCCAGGCTTTGCCGTGCAGGCGAGATACTCTCAGTAGCTTGCCAGGCTCTCCAAGAGGGGCGGAGGAATTGAACTCGGCTCGGCCATGTTGGCTGCGTGCAAGGCAAACACCCTACCCACTGTGCTATCGCTCCAGCCCGAATAAATAAATTTAAAAACATAAAGTAATGGGGGAATTACATTTATAAATATATTAACTCCCAGTGAAATAACTCTTAAGAGAAAAATATGTAATAAATATAAATATATAGGAGATTTCTGAGTTACATGTAAATGTTGAGGATTCATCTTTCTTGCTTTCCTACTTGTTAAGCTTCCTATACCTAAGTTATGTATATGATAGATGCATTTATGTTCATAATTAAAATTAATTTAATTAATTTTAGCGGGACTAAAGAGATAGTATGGTAGGTACGGTGTTTGCCTTGCACATGGCTGATGTGGTTTCAAACCCTTGCACTGCATATGATCTCTTGAGAACTTCCAGGAGTGATCCTTGAGCATAGAACCAAGAGTCAGCTCTGAGCATTTCCAGGTGTGTCCCCATACCTCAATAATTATTGTTACTACTACTAATAATAAATTATTTTTTTAATTCCTCATTTAGTTTAATTTTTTCCACAGATGT